GCACAAAGTTCTTAGATGTCCAGCTTTTTTCTCAACACAAATGCTACCAGGAGTAAGTAACCCCTGCCGTAAACCATACTTGATAACTCTGTAACGATTAAATTTGACAAGGCCAGGTGGAACGAAGTTTTCACTTTATCTGCAACGTAAGAACGAAGTCGTCGTCTCCTGTCCGAATTTTTAAACATGATCTACAATGTCATTTGTGGGGAAGTGATGAAAATTCTGCAAGATATGCAGTGATGTGTCTGATCCTAATTGTAGGTAGTATTTGAGATACTCGAAGTTCTAAATTCCCAACTAGCCGGGAGACTATGCATTATATGATCCCGTAGTTGCATAAAACAGTCACGCCATTCGTCTACGGGTTGTATCTCTAAACAATCAATTATTATGTATGAAGGACTTTGCATAACTAAGCACTGATAGAGCAGTGCACATTTCTGATCTTAACCGTTTGGCAACCTTGCTGTTTTTAGCAGGAGAAACCGGCTGATAGCCATAGTTCCGAAAATTTTGGGAGACCACTAACGGATGGGCAAATGTTTGTTAAAGGAAGTACGTTCATTTTTTTAGTTAATGACCCCCCTATCTGGTATAACAGCATTTCAAGAACACCGACTGAAAATTCGCTTTTACTTATTTTGTCGCTATGCGTTTTCGGTCTCTGTGGCCTAACATTGAACTTTTGCAATGAATCTCTTGGTGCGGCTGAAGTACAAAGCTCAAATTCATGGACCACAGTAGCACGCGGCAATATTTAAGATATGAGGCAAACTTTAGTCGAAGTCACTATATCAAGTTGAAACGGGGCTCTGATACACTTATTCGTGCATGAAGTGTAATTAGTATGACGTATAATCTAGTGTCTAATGGGGCGATCTCCGTAAATGTGTAAATTGAAAGCCGTATTCGAAAGGGTGTTTGGTCATATGTGGTTATATAGCCCCACCTGAAGTAAACAAACCCCAGCCACCTGTAATATGGGACCGGGGGTAATAGGAAGTTTTACAGGCGAGGCCAGGGAAAGCACAGGTGGCGAAGTCAAATAGTTGTATGCAGAAGAAAAGCTATTGGGAATGCGCGGTTGTACTGTGAGTGGTTGAGAAATAGTTGCCCTAACCCTAACCTCAACCACAACAGTATTGTGTCCATCAGATGGGGCTAAATAACCACACCTCACCGAGTAGCGTGTTTTTATGTCTGCACGCCATGCCGATTTAGTCTGCATAAAACTGCTTAGGAATTGAGAAAATAGATTGGTTTGGCGCGCGTAAATATTTAAACGGCAGAAAGTTTTCCCTGAATGAACTGGAGGCTTACGGTATTGGTTTCAAGCAAGACACTGCGCAAATTTCGAAGCCCAAAGGTGTACATGTCTAAAAAACCTGATCGTATGTCGGCAGAACCTAGAAAACTAGTAAAAGCCGCTCAGTCAAGAGTGAAGGACCATCACATAAGATGGGAAAGTGAGTCTTGACGTCTATTTAAGCGACACTGTAGTATCTCACTTGCCCGTAAACAAAACATTTCTTTTAGAAGGGTGATATATTTGAAAGTATTACATGAAAGACAGCCCGAACAGTACGTAAGAAACAGTAAAGCCTTCAAAGGAAGCCAGCAAAACTCTGTGTCCGGGGACATATTATATTTTACTGCGTTAAGATATACTTGACTGAATTCGAAAGAATAACGCTTCATCGTATTCGCAGAAGCTCTGGCGGCCGGCAAAAGGGCTAGAATTACAACCTCAATCATAAGACATATTTTGCGAGACAGCCCTTGCCACTATGTAGCTGCTCTGGGCCCGGAGACCAGAATATATTTAAGTTAGGGCACTTTTTATGGCATATCTTCTTCCCTTTGTCCAGCATTTTGGTCTGCTAGGCAAAATGCACTTACATCAGGAAAGTTCCAGGCGAAGCCGCAATGAGCAAAGTTGTATCAGCGACTTCAGTGTCCCAAAAATGTTGGCATTTTGCAATGGACTCAGCAACCAGCCCGATGTGTGGCAAACGACATGTTTTCAATAGGCAGAAGTGATTCAAAACTGACATACCAACCTGGGGGAAGTTTTTATAACTATAGTGTGGATTGCCAGAAGTTGTACCGTCTAAGTCAAGCTTCCGCGTCTTAGGACTCAACGATGTATAGAGCAAATTAAGTCTATCCCTCCATACTGCGAGTGAAGTTTGGCATGATTCTAAGTCTCCATGTGGCAGTAATTCACTCAACTTCGATTCAAGGCTTTTTATTTCCAAAATACCTCGACTGAGGTCTACCTAATGCCGCACATTTCCACATTCTCGAAGACTTGACTGCATTGATCACGTGCTGGTTCTTGTGGTGCTGGCCTGACATGGGGAAATCGCAGTTATCTGAGGTCAGTTACTAGGTCATCCGCTTCATTCTCGTTCTAGATTCCTCACCCGTGACCCTTTGAATTCGCAGGGTTTTAAAACCGGAGGCAAGACGCAAACTTCCATTTGCATTCATGGAAATCATGGAAGAGAAGCCTCAACGTCGCGTCCTTATCCCTGTGGACGAGAGTGGTTCCACACTGAACGCTGTGAGGTGGTACCTCGGTGAAGTTGCCCGTCCCGGTGACCACGTCATACTCCTCACAGTAGTTCCCTTCCAGGTTCACAAGCAGACTAATGTGTGGGTCTCGAGCGAGGAGGACGAAAGCACGCCTTCTGAGTCCTCCAGTGGGGAGGATCAACAAGCCCAACAACTTCTGGCTCCAGCAGCTGAACAGGAGGCCAGAAAAGAACTTATCAGACAGGCAAGGAGGTTGAAGGACTTCTTCGCAAAGCAGTTTCAGGAAGCTAAGGAACACCTCGAGAAACAGACACAGCAGTCTGCACCCCATAATCCCAACAGCAGTTACTGCAGTCAGGAGCAGCAGTCGCAGGAAACGGAGGCGGAAGATGAGACGAATAGACGCAAATCGCTCACTTGGGAGGCTTATGTGCGACAGGGCAGTAATGTGGGTGTAGCAATCACTGAAGCTGTGGTGGAAATGAAGGTAAACTTCGTCATCATGGGCACCCGCGGTTTGGGTGCCATTCGGCGAGTACTCATGGGCAGTGTCAGTGACTACGTGGTGCACAATTCCCAGTCCACTGTAATAATCGTGCCGCATGTACAGGCCTAAATGGTCTGCTGTCCAGTAAAGTGACTCCTTCCCCGCTCTTTCTTTATCTCTCATTACTTTTCCTCTCACCGTTTTGTTCATCGTTGTCCTAATCACTTCAGTATCACTGCTTGATAGACTGGATGGCGTGACGCGATAGGCAGACGGAGTAATGGAGAAAGCAGGCAAGCGCCCAGAAAATACTCCTGGGAGACGACTGAGTTCAAACGGAAGACAGACGCAGGGCTACTACAGATGCAAAGCATTTGTGAGGACGGTTCAATCCATTCCACGACTTGAGCATACCAATGATACACTGTGATAGTGAAAACTTGAGTAATTCGTGTTCTTAATGGCTCGGACCATCTATCTAATTAGGCAGGCGGTAGGCGATATTCGAGTTGGGTTAGGTGGGAAATCGTTTTCCTATAACAGGAGGATTTGCTCTGCTTAACCACGCCGTCTGGTCGGCATTATAACAATGTTTAATTAGTGACTACAGAAATTGTTAACTAAACTTTTGCCGAAAGTCATTCGCCTCTGTTGTACTTTGCATTCTGACCTAAACTATGAATATATGATTTAAGCGCTCAGACAACAGCAATATCATCGCAAGAGAGACGCCAATAATTCCCAGTCCTGTAGGAAGTGTGATTACTGTCGTGCTATCTGCAAGATAGAAATACGCGATGAAACTCAATAAATAAATGAACGGAATAACGCTTGAGACGGAAAGCAGTCAAACGAGGTCCATATTCCAGTAGGGCATAAAACCATTTTCAGTTAATTCATGGCGAGTACGAGTATGCACTCTTGGCGGAGCTGAGTAATCTGGTACTTGATGTATAGGAGGGACCTTAATATTTTTTCACTCCTAATGAGTTTTTCTTGGTAACAATCGGGAGATGGCACCCAGAAAAATCCGTTACCTAGAAATAATACTTTTAACAGTGGACTCAAACGCCTTCAGGCTATATCAGCGGTTGCAGGCCTGCTTTCACACACTACTTGGACTTTCCGCGACGGCCTAACATGGGCTAGCCGAACAAACATCGCAGGAGGTTACATGGACGATCGACGCTGTTACCCAACCTTCCTTATTGTTATACACGTACACCTGAATATACGACATACATTCGCATTATGGCAGTTTATTACAAAACAAAATCACTTTTATATAGGATAAGTCTGCACAACATGGGACAGGAACAGTTCCCAGGCATCTGTCAAAGACATGGCATTGAGGCCAAACCCAAGACGATACTGTACTTCGCCTATGGGAGCCCACACAGCTCTTCCATCGTGGAGTGTCCTTTTCAGTCTACTCCAGTATGCCTCAAAGGCATTGGTTTGCCGTCCGGTGGTAGGTTCCTTGAAGGTCTTTGAGTGGTTAACGGAGAAATGTAGATAACCTTCTGAGGGAAGACGATTATACGCCTTCCACACGTCTGTTACCACTAAACTGCCTTTGGCGACCAATTTTATAATAACGGAATGGAGATCGGGTCAATTTCGGTTATTCACCTGTTCAAATAAGTCTTTCCGTCGACTAATATCGTGCATCCCGACCAGCCACCCCCCATAAAACCCCTATTACCACCTGTCCCGTAAGACAGCCTGCTTTGGTTAGGCGGATTTTTTTGGGTGCCATCTCCCGATTGTTACCTTTTTCTTTAATAAATTTGTCAGCAACTTTTTTACAATCTGAAAGGTATAATTTCTGGTTAGAAGTGTCGAAATGGAAACCTTATGGCGTGCAACATTGACGACGCGGTAACGTAACGAATTTAAGGAGGTTTCGAAAAAACATTTATGGAACCTATGTGATCAAGTTTTAACTCCCACTGGTTACACACAGAAATTGTTACTAGCCGCTCTGCGACCCGACGATTTGGCCGCAAAAGCAAAACTTTGCCCCGCTGGTTAAAAGCCAAGGTCTTTTGAGTGGACTTTCGAACTGCCGTAACCCGGTGTCTTACATGGGGCAAACAGTGAGATTTGATAGGAATATTTCATGACTAATAAATTTAAATGCACAGCAATTTTAGATTAAGTCTACGCAGAAAAAATGTGTATCAGCTTTCAACAAGTCAAGGTGAGTGACACTTTTCCAGTGGTTATCGACGTCTTTTGCTTCATGAAATCAACCCCCTAACTATTTATCTTCACTTATTTATCCGATCTGTAAAAAACATTGTGGCAAGTAAAATATTACTGTCGACCAGAACCCGTTTTAACAACAGCATCTGTAGTGACGTGAAACTTTTCCAAGTAACAGTAGCTCGCTCATAGACCGGCTAGGTGAGCCTTTTATTTCTGTTGTCCGCGCTACGAAAATGGTTATTTAACAGTGGGTTACCCTCTTTTGGACGTCCATTTCAAGGGATTTCTGTACAACATGCATGACGTTTTTTTCGTACACTGTCAAACGTCTGAACTAGTAAGTCTTCTATAAATACTTTAAATCGTGATCACTTCTGGCATGATTTTAATTAGTACTTACCATTTATCGTTTGAAAAGTCAATCAGACTACTTTTATCAAAAGAAATTATAATTTTTATCTTTTTTGAAAACAAGTCCGATTTGAAATCCTACCGTCATTTCGGACAAAACACCCAAGTATGGAGATACACGCAGACAATCTCGAGTGTTTGACACTATTACTCTCTTATCACCAAGTTAGATAAACTACTTGAAGTGTCCCATTGGGTACGAAGTTTGCTGTTCTCTCCTTTGTGGCGAGGTTATTTTGGCAAACAAAAGTAACGCGATTTCTCTACTAAAAGGCGGGCTATTCCCCTTTCCCCGACCCTAACAATTCTAGTTTGAATAACAGGCACCCCAACTGAGCGTTCTAAAACAAAATAAAGGGAATACTTTTCAAAATCTTTGCAGATTACAAAGCACATTTTCTATAAGCTCGCCCGGACACGCATTAATTTGCATTACTATAGGCCATGAGCCTCCGTAGAAGTTTATATAAACAGCAGCACAGTTAGAAGTACGAGAATCAAAATTTTTTCCCGAGTCTTAGTGGGCTTTATAAGGTATGCAGTTTGGGGGATTTGTTGCCATTCTAAAAATCACCGGACACGCTCAGAAGCTTTGCAATGACGGGGCAACTCTAGCGTCGATGAAGCGCCCACGCTGATAGTTACCCGCCGGAGGTACTGTTATGTGGCGAAGTAGTTACCGGGTGACAGAAAAAATTCTACTAGAGCACCTTAAAATGTTTACTGAAACGTCCGAAATAAGTCGTCAATTCGGAGAGAACTTGATATACCAAAAAAGTCACTGACCATCTGCCTCCCCTTCAAGGGTGATAACGTGTCAAATGTGATCAAGCGACGACTTCGGTGCGCAATCGAAAGGACGTATGCCGCCTATAAATTGTTGTTCATAAGCACCACAACGGCCATCCCAGTTAGACCAGCTAAAGACATTTTGCTTATGCACCCCACATCAAACTGTATTTATGAGTTTACATGTAGTTGCGGATGCAAGCCCATTGGGCGCACAAAAAGGCAGTTGGCAGCTCGGTTAGCTGAACATATACCGAATTGACTGCTTAAGGCGGAAAATAAGATACCCAGGAGCTCAATCGCAAAGTACCTAGTGGACACGGGCCATACGGTGGACCCAATGGTTGCATTCAAGGTCCTGTTTCGGGCGACGACCGGGTGTCTCTTGCGCTTTGCAGAGGCCGGAGCGATACGGACTCTGTAAGCAGTTGGACCACGTGATAAACCTGGCACTACGATGGTAAGGATCAATTATGGACGAAACCCTGATCCCATGTACGCCATCTCATTTCGCCCCCACCCCCTTCCCCTCCCCGGCATGACCGAGTGCTGCCCGGGCGTTGCACTCTAAATCACGCCGGACAAGTTCTCACTGTAGTCCTAACTCTCATACTTGGATGACCTCTCCCCCTCGCCATATGCACCCGCATACTAGACACATGTTTCAGGTTGCCTATCACGTTTTATCTCTCTAGGTCGATCGTTGATTGAACAGTTTGCCTTCTCATATAACTATGCAATGACCGTACGCAGCTGAATGCGAGGTCTCGAAATTTATGACGTCCGTAAATACTGCATGCTTTGTCGCCTTTGCCTTTTTCAAATTTATTCCGAGAAAACATTGCTTCAACTTGATATATGACCGACAGATATAGCGAATTGCAGTAAAGTGTGATGCAGCCTTTTTCCAGGTCAACTGCACATAAGAGATTAACGGAGATGCTGTGGATTGTTATAACTAATTACTAAACCCTTCGGATGTTCCCTCACTGACGATGTATATGCATTTCTTGTGTTCATCATTTGAGACTCGCTTCACAGCCCTACTAACAACAACAGTTACCGATAACAATACTGAGCAATCCTTACAGGTCTACCCACACCGTGAACACATTCTAAACCCAATTGAGTAGAACACGGCAATACGGACCTACCTCATATTAAAGGTGGCCTTAGGCTAGACTCCAGGAGAGTTAGTGTTAGAAGGGTTGGGGCTAGGGTTAATGTTAGGGCACGGGAAAAGGTATCCTCTCCGGAATTTAGCGCAAGGTCACCGGCACTACGGGGGCTTATTATTCCTGTGTTAAACTCCAGGACTGCTACGATCCGATGCAGCCAACTCTACCTCTCTGGATAAATTCGTCACTCCTGATCAAATCTCTCTAGATTCCGAACTTACACAACCTCGGGCCATGAAACTCGGCCTATCAAGGTGTGGATCACGGCGACCCACTAACCCACATGCCCTTCGCTGTTCCAATTTTAAATTCAGTAGGTGAAACGTTCGGTGCGACACTTTTAAAATATGATTCACACGCCTCGCATAACTTCCAATTATTCTCGCTTCACCGTCCGTTACGACTCTACTTCTGAGCCTACCCATTTGCTTGACACCAAGCTAGATTACTCGTCCGCAATCACTTTTCTTGTTTACTAACAACACCACTCCGGTCGACTCCCACTTCCAGCACAAACCCAAACCTGATGAGAAATCTATT